CCCCCCCCGTAGTTGTGTCAACATTTTTATCCACAACCCCCCCAAATGAATTATAATATAAATAAATTTTATAAATATATTTTACTTTGTGCTGATCTATTTTAATGATATATAAAATTGTAGGAAAAACTTTTTATTATATCTTTAGCTGCAAGTTAAAAAGTTTTTACACTTAATTTTTTAAATACAGAATCAATTAAAAGGTTGTTAAAGACTGAATATTATTGTTTGTGGAAGTATAGATATGATTACTGACAATATAGCTGACAATTGTAGTATAGTTTCTTGCTGCTCTCATCTTCCCATGGAGTAGTCAGGTGTTGCTCTATTGTAACAATGGGTATAGTGGCTGATTTATCATTTTCATCTTGCGGAACTAATTTACTAGACAAGACAACATCATCATCTAAACATTCAGCACTTAAAATAGAAGCATTGTCAGTATGAGCAATAATTGCCATAAGCTCCCTCTGTCTTCTGCTCGCATTGGTCGAATCCTTTTTTATTGAGGCGCAGGTGGTAATTTCTTATGCTCAGGATGCATTGTCGGTGCTGTTGAACATGCTTTTTCAATATGACTTGTGATGCAAAATAGATGTTACTACAGATTTTGCAAATCCGTTCAAGCAGCATTGACTGAACTGAGAGAAAATAAAGATCAAATGGAAGAATTTTGAATGGCTTTATGAATCCAGGTAACATATTACCAAATTCAACAGACTGATTGAAGAAAAAAAGATGGAAATCGGTGCAAGTCATTTCCAGAAGCATCTCGTGCCTAAAGGCCTTCACTAGTTTGAAAGACTGGAATTGGTGGGGAAATGAATCTATTAGACACATTACAAATTAGGAACTTTGAATCGGCTGGCAACAGTCCTCATCACGACATTTCACAATTTGTAAAATGTATTGACTTGTTCTTACATGATTAGTAAAACAATCTTGATCTTTAATTAGTAAATCTTCTGCCACAAGTTCAGACAATTCAGGCACAACATATTCAGCCACTGTTGGAAAATTGTCAATTGTTACTTGCATCCACAATTCATACAATGTTTTGCCAGCATATTGGAAATTTAATTTTTACAATTCCTCATTAGTTGTTCGACCTTGTGAGTCAAGGTGTCTACCAAAATGCTCATGTTTTAAAATTGGGCCTGACACACCGCCCTAGTCATTTGCGACAAACAGAATCTACAGGTGAAGAAAGGCCACCTTTTGACTTCTCTTGCACTAAGTGTTCTAACATTCTGACCAGCCATCTGCAGTGCACAGACAGATACTTATTAAATAAATCTTATACTTATAATATTAAAAGCCTAAAAAAAAGTAATAACCAGTCAATTTTTTAGATAATTTTAATAGAGAAAACATGATTGTCGTTGACGTCAATTAATCTTTTACCCCCCCCCCCCCTTGATTGACATAATTAATTGACGCCCGCATGCTTTGGTTATTGTGGCTTGCTGAACATTGTCTAATAGGAAACGGCAATTCAGCATTTAAAAGCCAAAAAAAAAGTAATAACAGGTCATTTTTTTAGATAATTTTAATAGAGAAAACATGATTGGCGTTGACGTTAATTAATCTTTTTCCCCCCCCCCCCTTGATTGACATAATTAATTGACGCCCGCATGCTTTGGTTATTGTGGCTTGCTGAACATTGTCTAATAGGAAACGGCAATTCAGCAACAGAGATAACTTTTGTTTCTCTCTTGGTTAGTGTGGCTTGTTGAACACTGTCTAATAAAAAACAATTCAAAAGAGATATGTTTTTCTCTTGCATTTTTCTTACTTTTTTCTTCTTCTTTTTTTTCTATCAAGAGATGATGAAGCTGATGAAATTCAAATATAAATAGGACATAAGACGTAAACAATTATGTCTTCAATTATTGACAGCTATTAGGCTGGTAGTCAGGCACTTTCTAATGAAAAATATACTACCGGGTATTTGCCTCAACACTTGTAATGCCAAAACTTGTGTGCTGCTTGGGAGAAAAAAGGATTGTTAAAAGTTTATAACTCTGAAGTTTAAAAAAGAAACAAAAACAAAACTATACTATAACCAGCTTGTTGATCAAATTCATCCTATTTCTTTTTAAGTCATGATGCTTTTTGCATCTATCCGGTGTAAAGAAATAAGTCTATTAATTTAATATTGTTATTAATAAAAATCTGAGGATGATGATAATGACCTGTGATGCACCCTCCTTGCCCTGCCTCATTTTCTGTTTCGGGTTGATCCTGAAGTATAGGCCAAAACGTGTCTAAGTGTCCTCGTTTTATAGCCATTTTCATTGTTTCTATAGTATAGTAGTTACTATCCTAGTGTCTCATTTTTATTTTACTTAGTTTACATGTTTTTAATAATTGTAAAGCGCTTAGAGCTTTATGGTAAGCGCTATATAAAAATGCCTAAATAAATAAATAAACATTTAACCGATACTTTACTAATGAAAAAAATCAAATCAAAATGGAGTTGTTTCAATTCTGTGTAAGTGAGAACAATATTTTGTTATATTTTACCACATCATTTCCACCATGTCACAAATCATCAGAAATTTCACAACATATGTTGAAAACCTGAAGGCTAAATCTACAACTTTTGACGTCTAAGTATTTTTAAAAAATCAAATGTGTTATACCAGGTATGTTGCTGCTTGGTTTTAAATTAGGGTAAATTTACAATAGGCACCTATTTGTCTATTAATTATTCTTCAAAGTTAATTTCATGTGTATTTTAGCTGAGACGGAACCCCATGAAGGAAAGCGTAAAGTAGAAGCCCTTTGGCCAATATTTCGACTCCATCATCAGAAGTCAAGATACATATATGACCTGTTTTACAGACGGAAAGCTATCAGTAGAGGTAATATGATTTTTAAAATAAAATTTTGATTATTATTGTACACTGTCATTGTTTCCCCAGAGGCTGATGACCTATACCGGTACACAACGCTCCTTTATCTTTGCTTGTAAAAGACATCTTGGTTTACAGAGTGATGACAGATAAAAAGTTAAATGAAATTATCTTTCAAAAATGTTGCATCCATAAAGTGATAGAGCTGTGGAAAATATTTGCTGTTCATGAAGATTTGAAAAACAAATAATATATGCTCCCTGATTTAATTTAGTATAATTTTTATCTTTTTAAAATTATGCGTTCTTAATGTTGACATCTGACCTATATTAATATTAACTTTTCAGAGCTGTATGAATATTGTTTGAAAGAAAACATTGCAGACAAAAACTTGATCGCCAAGTGGAAGAAGCAAGGCTATGAAAACCTGTGCTGTTTAAGATGCATTCAAGTCAGAGACACAAACTTTGGAGCCAACTGCATATGTCGGGTACCAAGATCCAAACTTGAATCGGTAATACATTTGACTTACCCTCCTTTACTATACTTATGTCATTGGCATGTTAGAAAATTAACAGGCAAACAGTAGTTAAAAAATTTGTATAAATTTATCTTTATTGACAATAAGTGAATTATGTTACAAAACAGGTGCAGGGTCCTGCATCTGCTAATATCAGTTGCATTGTTAAAAATATTTATGCAATTTGAATAATTAAGATAAAGTTACTTTCTGATTGCATTCATTTTTTTAAATATTTTAATAACCATGTACTTTTGTCATTGACCATTCATCTCATTCTAACGTAACATTTTTACCATGATCGTGCTCTGTGAATATTAAATGGCTGCAGTAATAAAAATAATGTTTGTAATTAATTTTCAGGGCAAAATCGTGGAATGTGTACACTGTGGCTGCAGAGGCTGCTCTGGATAAGTGAACATTTCGGAGACTTTTAACAGATCATTTTTACTTTATTTTGTTGTTTAAATCATCGCTGTGTATTCTTGTACTGTTTTAAAATCCATAAGATTATTATGTGTGTTTTGAAATTTCCTGAAAATTAGTTTTGAATTAATGTTTTTTTAAATGACCAAAAGAAATGATTGATTTATTTCCACCTGTTTTTTTTTCCTGGCTATAATTAGTGCAATAGTACACTGATAATGATTTTATAACAATTTAAGTTTAATTTGTTTAAAGTGCTTCAGAGTGTTGATAAAAAAAACTGTTGTAATATTTAATGTTGTATTATCATTATGTAAATAAACAATAAGTATACAATTTTTCAAATATATTTATTAGTTTCATTTCACAGAATGAAAGACATGAATAAAAGTGAAAGTAACAAGTTAATAAATTGTCAACATAAAATAAAATTTAAATTAAATCACATAAAAGTCTGGCAATTGTCACCAACAGGATTCAGTCGCACACATTTATTAGAGCAAGAGAAATAATACTTTTAAATTAACAAAACAGTAAATTGCTTTTATATTTTGAAAATAGCAAGAGATTCAAATTAGTTTAATTATTTCATCAAGAAGTCACTTAACACAGTGGGAACAATTTTTTAGTGCTCCCTTTTTTATTTTAGTTTTTTAGACACCATCTGGGTTGAGTGTTTTGTTCCAAGAGATCTCCAACATATACAATTTAGCATCTGAATTAAGCATTATCTACTGCAATATTTCCAACCTTACGGTATATAGAGATAATTAATCCTATACTAATGACACAGATCCTGCAGGTAAACTGCTGTTGATTAGAGAATAGTAACGAAGATCATTGACAAACCGTTGAACTGTTTGGGTGAACGAAGGTAAATCCTGGAAATATCGAATATAAAAATAAAATTTGATTATTAATAGAATAAAGAGAAAAAGTCTGTGAATGGAATGGAAAGAAATATTTTGACTAGTAGCCAATAAAAATGTTTGCTGCTTCATGACTTATTTTGCTTATGCTGCTAAAGAAAAACTTATAGTATAGAAACTTATAGTAATATATAGAAAGACAACCAATATATAAAATAGAGCTAAAATACTCACCCATCAATAAAGTTACCCGCCGAATCAAGTTACTCACCCAGTCAAGTTTAATGTTCTTCGCCAGGACTGATTTTTGATTTTTATCAATGCCTTCCACAGAGGCCAGAAATTGGGGCAAGAATGTACTGAAGAAAGAATTAAAGTCCACAGCTGCCATATTGTAAACTGAGATCACTATTTCTTCCTGCAGCAGGTCATGTGACTTTTGGATTAATACTTGCAATAAGACTTTGAGAAACTGATGACTCATTACTTCAGAGAATATTTTCTATAAAAAAATTGAAGACAAAATTACCACACAAAAAATTAACTGTATATTAATGAGCATTATAATTCTACTTTGTTGAGGATACGAGTATCATGGATAAACCAACAGATAAATAAGAATGCCAAACAAAATGTAGCTCACAGTTTCAGTTACCTTGTACTTGTACTTTGTACATTTTGAGCATAAAAAATTCTTTTTTAAAACTTTCTGTGTATAAACTCAAGTGTTTAAAGAACTTTTTTTTTTTCAATACCAGTATGGTGGGGCAAAATGTCTAGGGGTGGTTCTCCTCCGAATGGCTACAGAAAACAATATCAGAGTCAAAAACTCTGTTTCTTTCTGGCAAATAACTCCACGAGATGGTTGTATCAAACAAATATTCTTAAATTATTTACACAATCAACACAAACCAACATTAATGGTGTTCACACCATATGAATGAAAAACTTCTGTCCACCTTCCCAAATGTATCCCGCTCAATAAAAATCACCCACTCACTCCTTAAAGAATGCCTTCTTGTTGCTCATAACAAATATATCACACCACACCTGAAATGCTTCATAGCGCATTCATGACTTAGTAAACGTGGTGCGATGTATGGGGAAGTTCCAAACGCAAAACATTATTGCTCACTTAAAAAATTATTAACACAGACACATAACATAATCATGCGATCTGGCCGTGACATATGGAACCAGTAAATTTTCATTCCAAAAGTACAACACCATTTCTAAACAGTTTGAAACGCTAAGCCATAACTTGCCCCGACTCATAACTTGCCCCTAACTCATAACAACTTGCCTTAACTAATAACAACTTGCCCTGACTCATAAATTGCCCCAACAGATAACTTGCCGTAACTCAAAACTAGCACATTAAAGTGAAAGTAACTGAATTGTTTATCCACCCGTACCTTATTATACAGTTTCCATTTAAAATTTAAAGCTTCAAGAGATTCCAAATTCTGCCTAAATATACTGATGTCTGTTTGTAAAAATGACTGTCCATAAGCCTGTGAAGATAAAAATAATACTATTAATTTTTTTGTATAAAAGGTCTTTATATTCCTCATTCTATGAAGAATACTTCATACAAACAATATTTTCAACTCATTTATTATAAAACAATAAAAACTTTCAATCTTTTCCAAAGTTTTAGTAGGAAAAATAGATGTTTTAATTTTAAAACACCTGTAAAATTGAAATAAATTGAGCACTGTTTTCCAATCCATCCCCTGATTCTTTCATGACATCAAGAATTGAGCCCTTAAAAAAATATCTCCAGTTGTTGGCAAGTATCTCATGCAGGAGATGATACAAGGCGCTCTTCATGTCTGGAGATGGACGCTGGGTTATAGAAATGACAAAACACATTTGTTATTAGAAATGTTTGTTATAGAAATGATCTTAAGAATGATGTTTAAGTTTCATAATTTATTAACGAGTAAATGTGGGAATAGTAAACAAATGCACATTGGTAAGATGTATTTTTTTTTTGTTGTATGTCACAAATAAAATCTGCGTCCTTCAGAAATTGCCGTAATTTCAAAATTTAATATACAGTCTAACAGAAATTTATTGACATTTAATACAATAAGTTCTGTTTGAAATTTGTGTCTAGAAATAAAAAGTTACATTATATGATTCATACTTACTGGTGCAACAATGGGATAAATCTGGTCCATTGCTATTGAAATTATTCTAGGAAGAAGGACCTTGAATTGTGATCCAGGATCTTGCACGATTAATTCTAATATCTTTAAAAAACTGTGAGGATTATAAGTCGATCTAATTACAGATAATCAATACAGAGGCAAGATAAATTAAGCTAAGATACTTTATTGAATCAAATAACTGGATTTTCATTTTATTGTTTAAATGTTTTCACATTTTATGTTTCTTTTCTGTAATTTATTTTATTTAAAGTGAACAAATAAGTGTATAGACATATAGTCCTTTCACTTAACTTTCATTTGATACTAAGTTTAGTCTTATAAATCAAAGAATAATATTTTTAATATTTTTTAATAAACCCAACCTCTCACTCTTTTCCGATCTTAAAAAAAATGTACATTTTTTTGATAAAAAAATTCCGCAGCGAAAGAGTTAACATTAAAACTGTGTTGCATTCAATGCACTTACTTTTCAATAACTCTAAATGCACCACTTGTTTCATGATGAATGGTCTGGGCCAGAAGCTCCCTAGGAGGACAAGACATTAAGAAGTGAAAAAAATCAATGCTTAATATGCAAAGCTGTGACAAACACAATGGTTCCTCTAATCCGTAAAAAAAAAAAAGAGAGATGTTAAGTTATGGTATATGTAGTAGATAAAAAAATCAATAGAGCTAAGAAAAAAATAAAAATTGCTCAGGTGATATGGCACAGCTGCACTGTAGATCAGAAGAAAAGAATAATCTAAACAAAAAACAGTGAGCAATACTTAATTTTTAAAATTGTGTTCTTTGCCTAATCAAGAAATCTCTTATAAATCTGCAAATGTATGATGTCACAATCATTGCTTGAGGTGATGATTATTAATAAATGATATAGTTCTTTAAAATATTTAACCAAAATTAAGTAAATTACAGCACGGGTACAACAAAAAAGGGAGAACATTTTGAACATATATAAAGCTCTTTAAAAATGTTATATCCTATAATATAGTAAGCACTATGCTTTCACCAAAAAGTCTTTGTAGTAAAAGCTGAAATGAGTGAAGGAAATGTACTTACCTGGAAAAGACATTCATAAAAGCATGAATAATTTTTTCTGTAAATGCCACTCCCATCTGTACACGCAAGCCTTGGAACATTGCCAGGAAGAAGGTCATGATATTTTCCACAACATCCACATCCTGGACATAGATTGGGAACACGGTGAGCGTTGTCAGGGTGACCTCCTGCAGGGACTGGAAACAAATCTGCTTGGATTTCACCACTTCTCCAGCCAGGGATTCCACCCAGTCCTGGCAGATGGTCATGGTCTTCTTGATCACATCTTTAGCTGGAAAAACAGAGTAGATACAGTGAATACTGTTAGTTCAAACAGAATCAGAACCAAAAATGAAATTAAATAAAATACAGCCAGTAAAAATATAATCACAACAAAAAATGAAGCTAAAAAAAAAAATAATAATAATTTAGTTCAAACAGAACCACAACAAAAAATTAATTAGGACAAAAAGAGTACAGTTAGTTCAAATATAATCACATCCAAGAAAGAATCATTTAGCTATAAACCATGTTTTTTAGATTATTTTTATAGTGTAGTCTGCCAAATGGTTTTCAACACAAAAAAAAAGAAGAACTCTGTGAATTCATAAAGATTTTAAACTATCTTTATCAAATATGGCAATCATGCTATCAAGCTCCTAAACCCTTTGGAGCCTGAATGAGAGACCTCACAAAAAAGCAAATCTCAATGGCTCTTAGAACATCAAGTCAAATGGACATGAGGTAACCAACTATATTGTAACCCTTGACTTCTCATCCTAAAATACCCATGCCTCTGGGGTAAATTTTAACAAACAGACACACAAGCAAACCAAATTCCATGATTATAAAATGATACAAATTTTATTTACCGGTATTTCAATCTAAATTGTCCATTACTATTATAAAATGTATCACAGTCACAATGAGAAAATTGTCTTAGAGTTGATGTAGAATAGGATAGTAGAGTTGATGTAGAATAGCATAGTAGAGTTGATGAAGAATAGCATAGTAGAGTTGATGTAGAATAGCATAGTAGAGTTGATGTAGAATAGCATAGTAGGTCACTTTTACGACCCCATTTTCATAAAAACCAAGGCTAGGACTAGGACTTACCTTGTGTTGGGTCTTTAGTTCCCAAAGCATTAACCATCACTAGCAAAGCACACATTCCATTACTAGCAAAGCACACATTCCATCACTAGCACTAGTTGAAGTCAGCTGATTGTCACTATCAATATCATTGTCTATTTGCTTTTATTATAATACTTTTTTCAAAACAAGATAATATTCCTTTGAATCCTTTGAGCCCATTGGCAATTTTTTCTTTTTCATCACCTCTATACATTGAAAAACATGAGTAAAACATAATACACAAAAAAACCAATGGGTGCTGCCATTACTGTGACCGTTCACGAGTCACATGGTAAACCCTGAACTCAGTATTTACAACACTCTTTTAAATAAAGACTTTCAATCTAGGATAAGGTGCGGGAGACAGAAATATCGGTTAGGCGGGTATGGATTTATAACACAAGGACCAAGAAAGTGGGATCGCAGTTTCAATGGGTTAAGCCAATCAACTCCACTGGGTGACTTTAAACAAGCCCCTGTACCAATACCATCATGTTTGGTACCAATACCATCATGTCTGGTACCAATACCATCATGCCTGGTGGCAAAACATGTTTACCTTGCTCCTGAGTTGATTTACTGGTTGCCAGTTCTGGCAAGTTTCCCAGGGCAACAAACTGAGCCGTCAGCTGAGCAACAAGAGTCTTGTGAAGGTTAGCTCGGTTCTCCCAGTCCTGTTCCTGTGCCCCAACATTTGGCCACGGAAGCAGCAGATAGTGGGATAGAGAGCGGTAAATCAGTAGCTGGACCTGCCGCAGAAGAGGATGTTTTGTAAATAATGACAAGATGAGGAAATGGTGAAATGTTTTGATCCAAAGTTGTAAAACGATAGATTTAAATTAAAAGAAAATTAGGCCAATTTTAAAAAGTAATATTTGAAGAGTTACAGACCAAATGACGTTTGAAAGCAAAATTTAAGTTTCTAACCAAGTTTTAGAGTATTTATAAAAAAAAAAGATGAGACTACATAATTTATTTGCCAGTCTGTTTACCTCTTGTGCTAAACTCTGACAAGCCCCTTGACTGGCCAAGTCATACAGGGTGATGACTGGTGCCACTTGAAGTAGAAATGCCGGCCTGACAGTTGTAGTAATAGACAGCAGTAAATGGGCAGCAGATTGTATTATCTTATCAGGGACCTGACATTAAAGAAATTCATATTTTTTATAATAATAATAATAATAATAATACTAATGGGATGTATTGATGATTTAGCTTTGATGTATCCAATTGACATAATAGATCTTATTGGTAATCATGAATTTAATAACATTAACAAAATCTTAGTAAAGTCACACCATGCGTCTGAATCAAGACACAAAATAATTTTTAATTTTACCTCTTGATTCTGGTGAACCATAATATACCTGGTGGCCCATAATATACCTAGAGAACCCTAATATACCTGGTGGCCCATAATATACCTGTTTGTCAATGAGTGGAGTGATGGAATGGATGACAGCCAGAAGGATTGAATTGAACTCTTCCTTTTGTTGGTTGACCCGTAAACTTTCAGTGTAAAACTGAAACATCCAGTGTGTGTAGGCTTTGATGGCTGCCAGGGACTGGGCATGGCTGACAGTACAATAAAAATCATGTTTTAACCAGAGACTGGGCATGGCTGACAGTACAAGAAATATCATGCTTTAACCAGAGACTGGGCATGGCTGACAGTACAAGAAAAATCAGGTTTTAACCAGAGACTGAGCATGGCTGAGAGCACAAGAAAAATCATGCTTTAACCAGAGACTGGGCATGGCTGACAGACAGTACAAGAAAAATCATGTTTTAACCCAGGACTGGCTGACAGTACAAGAAAAATCATGTTTTAATCAAAGAATAGTACAGCATTTCATGACAGAATATTGAAATATTATGCATTACACTGCATATGTTGTTGCAAGCATAAAGGAAATGGTCCAACTCACTAAATATTTGTGTTGTATTGCTGTTAAATAATCCTTTAAATTAATAATTACATACTAAATTAATTCTTACACTTCAATGAAATCTTGCTGCAGTACCCCAGCTGATGTGGTCACCTCAAAGAACTTAATTCTACTTCCATAGGAAGTAACATGGACAAGTCTGAAACATTTCGTCACAATTTATTTTAATACATATCAATGTATGCTTCTCATTTATAACAATAAATGGCAAAAAGTTGTAAATACATTTTTATATCTGTTTTCAAACGTAGAGACTTGACGATAGTATGCTGTCATGCTAACTATAACTTGAAGATAGTCTACTATCATTCAAACTAACCAACTGAGCCCCTTAATTACTATTTTAAAAAACGTTTAAATTATCAAGCGTGTTAGCAAAGAGAGAGGCCAGGAGCATTCAGTGAGTAAAAGGTAGAAAATCTCTTTTTACCAATATCCATCTATACACTAAAAGAAACTTTTGAAAAACAGAAAGTTCAGCTATTAGCTCATAGCAAAGTAATCATTTCTTTGAAATTCAGATGTTTGGAACAACCTGTTACCAATTTGCATTGCATTCACAACAGAAATCTGAACCAACCTGTTAACAATTTGCATTGCATTCACAACAGAAATCTGAACCAACCTGTTAACAATTTGCATTGCATTTGTGAACCTCGTGACAAAATGTTCTCCAGTAAAATGCACGGCTAATCTGCCTAAAGCTTGCAGAAGAGACGAGAGGTCTCGGAGGGCGCAGTGAAGTCGCCTGCAGTCATTCTCAGCAGACACGCACAATCGCCGCTCATACCCAGAGCTGTCGACAAATTTCTCTATGCCGAGGTAGGTATCAACATGGTCTTGGAAAGGATCCCACTAAATCAATATAAATAGTGGAACAAGATATGTTTAGGCTTGAAAAGAAAAGACAGAACATCATGTACATGTATATAGACAGAACATTGTGTACATGTACATAGACAGAACATTGTGTACATGTATATATACAGAACATCATGTACATGTACATAGACAGAACATTGTGTACATGTATAAAGACAGCACATTGTGTACATGTATATAAAATATCTAATTATTGAAAAATAATTGCTCTCGTGCCACCTACCACAAGTTGGAAAACTTCTGGTGTCATCAACTCTGCCACTTTAGCAACAACTTCCAGGTTCTGCCTAAGAAAATGTTGCCATTCTGTTTCATCCTGAAAAGATCAGCCATAGACCGGCATTGTCAGCTTAAAAATGTATCAAAATATTTATGCACTTTGGTTAAATCAAGGATCTATTGACTATCAGAAAATGCATGGATAGCCATGTCAAGCTCAACTAACCATTCACATTTATTTTGTTTTTCCCCCTTTAAGTCTAAATGATACAGTCAAATACATAGACCAGAGCAAAGTACAGTTAAATAGATACATTTTGAGTACAGTTAAACAATTACATTATGAGTACTGTTAAACAAATACATTTTGAGTACAGTTAAACAAATACATTGAGAGTACAGTTAAACAAATACATTATGAGTACTGTTAAACAAATACATTTTGAGTACAGTTTAAACAGATACATTGTGAGTACTGTTAAACAAATACATTTTGAGTACAGTTAAACAAATACATTTTGAGTACAGTTTAAACAGATACGTTGTGAGTACAGTAAAACAGATACATTGTGAGTATGTTTAAAAAAATATGCTATGAGTATTGTTTAAACATATACGTTATGAGTACAGTTTTAACAGATACATTTCTTCTACTCACATCATCATCTAGTGTGTCATCGTCAAGCTCTTCAAGCTGGGATTGGTTGTAACGGAATTGAAACTTCTGTAAAATACTGGAAACTAATGAGGTCAGAGCCTCCTTATACCTGGGAAAATTACAAAAAAAGTAATCTGGTAATCAGAATTAATTAAAAATACTTTAGGAAAGAGCATATTTTGTAGGCATTGGTCAGAAAAAGTAATCTGGTAATCAGAATTAATTAAAAATACTTTAGGAAAGAGCATATTTTGTAGACATTGGTCAGAAAAAGTAATCTGGTAATCAGAATTAATTAAAAATACTTTAGGAAAGAGCATATTTTGTAGACATTGGTCAGAAAAAGTAAAACTCAAAGTTAGTCATTTAAAAGAAAAAAAAAAAAAAAAAAAGAATACAACAAAACAAAAAAAAAAAATAAAAATAAAAAGTAATCTGGTAATAAAAATTAATTAAAAATACTTTAAGAAAGAGAATATTTTGTAGACATTGGTCAGAAAAAGTAAAACTCAAAGTTAGTCATTTAAAAAAAAAAAAAAAAAAAAAAAGAATACTACCTGACTCTAACAAACAATCTGAATATTTTTTCGCAATAGTACTTTAATGACAAAAATAAGACATGAATTTACGGTATTAGTATTAGAGGTGCCGCTGGTAAATTTATTTCATTATTTTACTTCAATAGAAAAAAAAAATCAGAAAACTTAACTTCCTCTAATATCAGCTCATTTCCATTTTGAGTGAATGATTTCTTTTTCATTTATCAACTAAATTAATAGCTCTAGATAAATCTCTATGTGAGAAAAGCAAAAACAAACAAACAAGTTTAACAACTTAATGTGGTCTGGCAAATAACAAAATCAATAGCATGAAATAGCACCGCTGAAAAAATGTTCAACCATGCAAGTGTTACCGTTTGTAACTAAGGGAAGCTTTGAACCTGTGAGGGAGAAAACCGTAACATTCCTTGGGTTGGAAAGTCAAGAAAAAATATCCATGAAAAAATATCAACAGTTTTTTTTTTATTGTAGGACTCATTTCACATTTTTTGTCAAATGACAAGAGGGTGTTGCAATTTAGAGTTTACATCACAGTATGGACAAAACGCCTACCTCAGAGATATGTCTTCCTTGTTTATGGATCGTGCCTCAAGTCTGGTGTTTAAATAATCTAGGAATGTTATCCAAATATCTAAACAGCTAAAATATCCGTCTGTACTTGGCTGTTGTGAAGAAAATAGTACATTATTGGATTTTTTTGTGTTTTTCTCGATGAAAGGACATGCCTTGCAGAAGAACCCAATCTGTTCTCAGGCAACGCTCATTCTAAAAGATGATATTGGCCATGTTAAACTATTTGAACATTTTAAGTCATTCTTCAGCCTGGTCAAACATCATTAAAAAAAAAATCATTGCTAACTGTCTGGTTACTGCCAGTCTGTCCTTGGCATTTCCTGCTATATATCATACCGCTAAGTTACATTTTGTTTTTTGATAGAGTAGCTCGCCCCTGGAACACTCTATTTTCAATAATTTGATCTGGTTTAGAGCCTCATAGTTTCTCTGACCTTACACCAAGCCGCTTTATAGGCTCTTGATCTACACACTCTGTCATTACTTAATGAAATATTGTGAAAAAAATTTGAACTAAAACTGGACAACCCACAACAAAGAATAAAAGGGACATCCCTTTTACCACAAAATATTAACCAAGAAGATTTTAGGCCTCAATTTAATATCTTTGATTGCATAAAAATCTACTTTACGGTCCATGTTTTCATACGCAGTGAATGAATTAAACAAAGCAGAAGGAAATGTGTAAATATTTTGTGCCTGAAAAGAGAAAGGTTGTTGTTCCTAAATGGTTTGACAGAAGCAGTACTAGCCTAAAAACTGTACTGTCTTATGCATGTGACCATTGGATGATGCCATTGAAAATCTACTCTAAGACAGTGTCAATCATTTGTGACCTGAAAAGAAGAAGAAGGAACCCCCATCCCCCCAGCATCAACACAAACAAAAACTCACTAAACATTTTTTGTCAGATATTTTGTTTATTATTAAAGCAGACATGTTTATGCCACGATCTTTGATTTTTTTCTACATGCATGAGAGAGCATGTCTGGTTCATATTTTGGCTCATAAGCAGGTTCATTATGCTGCTTATCCACTCTGCACAGTGTATACTGTGAGGAACCAATGCAGTGGCAAAATTATTTTAAAAAAAAACAAACACTCAAAATACTTTTTAAGCAGACACATCACGGTAAACTGTACCTGTCTAAATGTATATTTGAAGAGCAGGGACAGGAACTCCAAGACAGGAAACTGAGGATTGGCTTCAAATCGACGCAAATGGACACTAACAAAAAGCCCGAGGAAGTCAGTAAACTTGTCGACATATCTGAAATCGATATTTAAAAAAAAAAGTTTAAATCTCATTTGCAGATAGCACATGTGTTTATAAAAAATAAAATACAATCTCTGCTAAAATATGAATGAATAAAATAAATAAATTTATTTATTTATTTAGGCATTTTCATATAGCGCTTACCCTAAAGCTCTAAGCGCTTTACAATTATTAAAAACATGTAAAATAAATACGTTGTAAGCATTTGAGTTGGTGCAGTCTGAGTGGAAATTTAAACACAAGGTTTTCAACATGATAGTTAAAATAAGGACTGACACTTCATCAAGTTCTTCTAGTCTGTTGCCAGAGGAATTTGTGTTGCTCTCTTTGGTTATCTTCTGAAGCAGGTTGAATGTCTGCTGGAACATCTGGAGAAGGAAGTCTTCAAACTCCTGAGGGACACAGTTTTTGCTGAGGATTTCATTGATACAGTTCATGGCCAGGACACCTAAAGAAAGAGAAGATACAGTATTTATGAACACAAACGTAGACATACACAAACAATCAAATCATTGATTGACGTCAATATTAATCGAGGAATTATAGATTTCAAGATACTTAGCCTTTGCACCTATTGGCATACAAAGTTTAGTGCTGACCCGGCCCAAAACCTCAACTGGTACTTGACCGAATGGGAGACTAACTAGAGATTTATTTACCCAGTTTGTGAGTGCTGCTGCTAAATGCACTGCTTCTAGAACTAGGACTGGAGTCGTTGAAGTCGGTTCTGGGCTGGCAGCCAAATGCAGCAAAGTGAAATATGGTGGAGAGAAGCTGGGGCCTGACCACAGTGGACAATGGAACCCAGCACAGATAGTGAGCTAAGCAGGTCAAACCGGCCCAGCAGAGCTGCTGAGAGGCCGCGTCCAATGGGGGCAGGGCTTCCATCTGGGGACCTCGGCTGGGACTACCCAGTAACAGAGAAACAAAGTTGGCTGGTGAGAGACAACATAAGGGAGAAAGTCATTCATTAATTTTTCATGTGAAAATAGTAAAATAAAGATATGAACATCAAGGTACTTTCATTATGTGTTGATATATTCAACTTTGAAAAGACTTTTAAGCAAGTCATCAAAATTGGTAATGCAAAAATATTAGATTTAATGAATTTAAATGGAATGAAATTAATTCACAGAAATATTTATACTTGCAATAAATGGCAATATAAATGTTACCATTGATTATGGGAGATGTAGAAAACAGCTAACTGCTGCCTTGACAATATAAATGTTACCATTGATTATGGGAGATGTAGAAAACAGCTAACTGCTGCCTTGACATTATAAATGTTACCATTGATTATGGGAGATGTAGAAAACAGCTGACTGCTGCCTTGACAATATAAATGTTACCATTGATTATGGGAGATGTAGAAAACAGCTAACTGCTGCCTTGACAATATAAATGTTACCATTGACTATGGGAGATGTAGAAAACAGCTGACTGCTGCCTTGACGAGAGGATCTTCCTTCACCGGATGTTGGGGACGGAGGTGGTGTTGCAGCTACTAAATGCCGATGTTTTTCCAGCATTGATTCCAGAATATCTGCAAATATAATAAAATAGATAATATCCAATATGGATTGGACAATCAGTTGTCCGATCAGCAGTCAGTGAATGGACCAATCAACAATCAGTAAATATAGCACTAAGGTCATGCAAAGTATGTTTTTTAAAACTTAAATAATCATGCACAATTATTAATCCTTATAAAACAAATTTTTATGAAACAATTGTATTAGCCCGAAAGTAAAACATCCATGAAACAATTACTTGTACATTGCCAACTGACTGATAATTTATTCTGTGCGTTTCCTGGATACATAACTGTTATTGACCCAAGTTAAAATATCTTATATACAGTCTCTGGTAGATGACCCATTGGATTATGTAAACAATGCACTGAACCACTGTTTTCTCATCTAGCTGTTAATGACAGCTTTCTACCAGTTACTTGGCAGCGGTCTGGCTTCATGTATACTTGGAAAGTCTGCTCACATTGGTTATCAAATTCTGAGCATTACCACAGCTCATCTAAATGTTTTGAACACTTATAAAGTCTGCTCACATTGGTTATCACATTCTGAGGAACATCACAGCTCATCTAAATGAGTTGAACACTTATAAAGTCTGCTCACATTGGTTATCACATTCTGAGGAACATCACAGCTCATCTAAATGAGTTGAACACTTATAAAGTCTGCTCACATTGGTTATCACATTCTGAGGAACATCACAGCTCATCTAAATGAGTTGAACGCTTATAAAGTCTGCTCACATTGGTTATCACATTCTGAGGAACATCACAGCTCATCTAAATGAGTTGAACACCATCAGGACAAGGGACATTAATGTTCAAAAAGGCATAAAAGGTTTGAGAATTTAAAAAAAAAACACAACAAGACAGAACAGGCCATGACTTACTGTTTAAAATGCTAAGAACCGAAGGGACCTGGAGCAACAGCAATCGATGCAGCTCCTCCTTCCTGGCCATGCTGACATCGTCTCTAGGGGATGCGAGTTCTTCGGATGCCGTCTGGAGTAGGATCACTCCTAGGAGCGCCGTGTCAGACTGTTGTGCCAGCTTGAGAAAGCAGACATTATAGTTATACATACACTGCATCTTAAATATTTGGTGCTTAAAATGATTACACAGGTTTCCTGCTATAATAAACAACTGAAATCTCAGTATTATACTCAGAATGCCTCAGTCTTATACCCAGAATGCCTCAGTTTTATACCCAGAATTGGACAAAACTAACAATAATTTAAGATTCAAAACTTTTTCTGTCAAGAGACAGGATATATTTTTTTCTTCAAATGCAGGCAAAACGTCAGATGCCCGGTCCAAGTGCCATGGTGACCAGGCTTCCAGTATTAGCTTCTGCTGCTTACAACCAAGGCATTAGAACAGAAATAGTCTACTCAGACTATGATCACATTGGGTAAATATTCTAACCTACTTGTAATATATTGGAGAAGAAATCAGGGTAGAAATGCGGCCAATCGCTTCGACCAATGTCTACAACCAGCTTTGCCAACTTGTTACGTATGTAGGATGGTACTCTCGTATGTTGATTCATGAGGAACTGAGTGAGACATGTCCGTATTTCTATCTTGTCATTAGCTGCAAGGTTCATCCACTTGTGACTGATGAGTGTCTGCAAAGGAACATTAATTTTTCACCAGCATTTTTAAAAATATTTTAATTTTCTTACATGGGAAAAAAATGTAGAAAAATTTGTGCCACCAAGAAAGAAACACATGAACTAAAACGAAGTCAATATAAGGGATTTAAAAATGGAGGGCTTTTAAATGATAACATGTGCACACCATATGGTGGCACATGAAAATAGAGGGCTGATAAATGATATCTTGTGCACACATATTGTGACAAATGAAAATGGAGGGCTGTTAAATGATATCATGTGCACATGTATTGTGACACATGAAAATGGAGGGCTGTTAAATTATATCATGTGCAAACATATGGTGGCAGATGAAAATGGAGGGCTGTTAAAGGATATCTTATGCACACATATGTTGACTTATGAAAATGATTGCTGAAATAAAATTATGAAACAGGGGTTAAATAAACTTTAAAATGCTAGCAATAGTTGCATCAAGTTACAAAACTATTAACAATAACAGGATACTTTCTGAGGGAAACCCAAGACCCACAACCCATAGGCACTCTCTACAATCAACCCCTTCAGTATTTTGCATATGCTGATGACATAGCACTGTTAGGGAAAAGTAGTAAAGACATATCAAAAGCCTTTATTGAATAAGAAGATGCATCACTACAAGCAGGGATGGAAGTTAACAACCAAAAAATAAAATATATGACCAAGAAAAGAGAAAAACAGACAGAAGAAACCAATATAATTAGAGACCAGACTTTTGAAAAAGTAAATCAATTCAAATACCTAGGATCTTTATTAAATGAATGAAATGAATTACTAACAGAAATAAAAGAAAGAACATCGTCCTGAAACAGGTCATGCTTCAGTAGTCAGAGAATACTCACAAGTAAAAACCTTACAAGAGAAACAAAGAAAACTAGATATAATTAGTAATCAGACCAGTTGAAACTTGGACCCTAACAAAAATGGCAAAAAACCTATTAAACACATGGGAGAGAGAAGTTATCCGGAAAATATATGTACCAATAAAGGATGAATATGGAGGAAGAATATGAACCAACCAGGAATCGTATCCCACGGTAGTACCGGTAGCAGAAATAAAAAGGGCAGGCTATGCTGGGCAGGGCGCTTAGAAAGAATGCCAAATGAAAGAAGAGTGAAGAGGATGCACCACCAAAACCTCAGAGGAAAACAGCTCAAAGGCAGACTTAGGCTTAGATGGATGGATGATGTGGAGAAAAGATCTACAGCAGCTGGGAATCCAAGCATGGAAAAGAAAAGCATCAGTTAGGTCTTAGTGGAAGGAAGTGGTGAGGTAGGCCAAAGCCCTACATGGGCTGTAGCGCAACAGGGATGGATGGATATACAAAACTATTGTACTGACCTCTTGGACATTTAAGCAATACATCATGACATATTCATTTTGAGTATTACTCATAAAGTACAGGCACATTTCCCATGCATTGGACATCTGAGTGAAGTTAGTCAAAATTGATTCTGAGGAAGAAAAAAAAAATGGATTAAAATACAATTTTTTAAGACAACTATTTTTGCCTATAAAGACAACTTCTTTAAAACCAGGCCAAGTGGGCTGCATGCTTTGGACTTTAGTGTTTGAGGTTGAGTTTTCAAGCTCTCCAAAAACGGCTTCTTTTCTTGCCTTATGAGTCAATTATATAGGGATGATGAAAAGGAAATTTTAATTTCAAGATCTGTCATAACAGGAGTGAGACTCCTCATTCCATAGACCCCCAATCTTATGTATTTATGAAACAGGGTTCCATGTTATCAAACTGACTGCAAGTTTCAGCCCTGCCTGTACAGTTGTCTGTAGAGTTGTCTGTAAAGTTCTGCATTAGGGTAATTTCTTAACCCAGTTTGATTTATTTGATATATTTTAGTTTGTTCCTGTTTAACCACCAATTAAAATTTTATTTTTGTTCTCATCTCTGTCTGGTTAAATGCAAGTAAAGAATTTTTCATATTTACTTCTATGTGCCGAAGTCACACCAAGGAACTCATGGTCAGAGGATTCTGCTGTAATATGTGAAGACTAAATAAACATATTTTCTTCACTTAAAACCAAAGAAAGCAACGATCGGTTCAAAGTTTTTTTGTTTTTTTACAAATTAGATTAACAAGAAACATAATAAACACCCTTTTAACTAAAAATTATACAGGAAACTTTCAACTTTACAGGTAATCCTACCAATTTCTCTTTTTCTATCATTGTTAGTAGTTGCAGCAAAAAATTCATTCATCAGATCTTCCAGGGCATGTAGTGATTCATCAATGCTAGCCTGAAAATATATATTATATGCCTTTACATTAATAATTTAACCAACTGGCATCATCGTCAAATTCTTTTATGGCCTTTATGAAGATTACAACTGAAGAAATATACAAAAATATGCTATCATTTAAGCCAAATATACATTTTAGTTTTTAATAATCAGGGCTAATTTCAAAAAAATTTTAAAAAAAGAAAGAAAAAACATATTAAAAAATTGTTTATTAACATTGCTCTCTACAACCCCCACCCCCTAAAACTCAATATAACAAAATGACACCCCTTTCGCATTACATAATATGTGCACAGGTCCCTAATGTAGACATTTCTGTGTTGCCTGTTAAAACTATTAACAGATTTTAGCTATATTTACATTTGAAAGGCCACATATATGAGGGTCAACACTAGATTGGCAATTTGACAACACCCCCAAATAAAGGGTGCAACATCTCCTATCTGGGGATCAAACGCAAAATATCACTTAGACAACCCTAAACCTAAGGGTGAGAACTTCCTTTTGTCTATTAACCCCTTCAACAGCTTTGCTCCTCCGCAGACACACATGTTCTTACTGTTTCCTAGACACACACTAAAATATACAGTGAAGATCTGTCTCTTTCTGTGCCCCCAACAATTGAATTCTCTCCTATAGCCATTACACATCCGCAATATACCCACCATCCAAGCCTTCAAAACTGCACTCAAGACACATCTCTTAAAACTCTAATATTCCAACTCATTCTCACCCCCACTCTGACTGATAAGCAATGCTTGATGCTGCTGGTGGGTGAGGTCAATCTTTTTACAAAGCTGTTTTTAAATTTAACTGAATAATTTTATGTACTGTAATGTAACTGTTTTTTAATGAAATTAATGTCATGTTTCTTTTTGCTAATTTTTATGTGAAGTGCGGTGAGCCTAGCCAAGCTCTAGCCGGGGATGCCACGCCATATAGGCTATATATAAGACCACTTTAATAATAATAATATACAGTAACTATACAAGCTTTGCTACAGTAAACTATCCTGGTATTTGATGTAATAACTGTTACTAGGTTAGTAATTATTAGTACCCGGTAGAGGTGGTGTATTAAACATTTTATTTTTTCAGTAGACGAGCAGAGTATAGTATCTAAATGGTCTAAGTATAGTAGTGTTATCGATTGGTTTCCACATTCTTTAATAGAGAAAGAAATGCACACATGCATTGCAGAACTCACCATTCTCGGGGTTAGATGAAAATACTTATAAAAGATATTTAAAAAAACATGGGTGTGAGGTAAAAATTAAAACCCCTTTAACGCCATGATTCGCTTTGATGTAATTAACGAAACATCATGAACATTCCTCATACTACCGAGGTATTTTTTTTTTATCTAAAGAGGCATCAGTTATATAGAAATTTGTATCATCAGACCAAGACAAAACTCCGTTAAACCGTAATGTCAACTATCTTAAAATTATATTTGCGCTAAAATGGTGTATGTGTGTAAAACTATTTTGTCTGAATTTGCATTGGTAGTCACCATTGGCGTGAATAAGGGGTGCGGTTAATGTTGAATTCAGGGTTTCTTTCAGGCATCTCCCCGGAAGGGGGGGATTGCCCCCCCCCCCCGGAAAGTCAAGTGCCCCACGGACCAAAACGAATATAACACTAAAAAGGAATGTTAATTTTTTCGGCAACCGATGCGATATAGGCTCTCAACTTTTCTACACAACACGGTCAGATGACCCATTATTAGTGACAGATGAAGTCTATTGTTAGAGCTGTCGCTCAGTTTCATAGCTCAGTTTGGTACTAGTACTAGCAGTCGTGCAGCGCTAAGTAGTTCCTAACGTCTGCATTTAACATTATTATTGAGCGACTGCAATGAATGCAATCTGTACCTAAACAAACGTGTTCAGTGTTCACATAGCAGTGTAAAATAAAGCAGACTACGCTACTGTGATTTCTGATTCCCTTCCCTGTCTCTCAATCGCTCTCTCAATTCCCACCAACACCCCACCAACTATATTTCAGTCTCCTTTGTTTATATACATCAGCTGACCGACCTAGCGTTTGCTATAGTAAACTGACACGCGAAGCGATTGGCCTAACTTTTTAATACAGATGTTATGACATTAGAATGGGGATACTTATCATGTGGATACTTATCACCCTGTTGATCCACAACTGTACAGTCGAAGGTGAAGTTTGCTATTTGCGTTAAATGTCCAGTATTACATGGGTGGGGGAGGGGAGATAGATGGTCGAGTTCGCTTTGTTTTCTTACTGTTTCTTTAATACTTTCCCCTAGCAGCATGGGCGCCCGCAGAAAACTTTCNAATGTGGTTTTAATTTACTGTAGCGTATTTGTACGGTGAACGAACGGACAGGACATCAGCTAAGTTACTTTCTCTTTATTTTCTCTTTACTTTAATAATTTTTTGTCTATTTTTGTCTTAAAAATTTTATCCAATCAATCGGGGGGGGGGCGGGGGGGGCAAGTGCCCCCCTTGTCCCCTCTCCCTGCGGGCGCCCATGCCTAGCAGTGCTATGTCATCAGCATATGCAAGATACTGACTGGTTTGATTGTAAAGAGTGCCCATTGTTTGTGAGTTGTGGGTCTTGGGTTTCCCTCAGAAAGTATCCTGTTTTTGCTCCTCGGGTGTCAATATGTATACTTCTCACAACTCTCTCTAATATTAGGTTAAATAGCATACAAAACAGTGAGTCTCATTGTCTTAGGCCTCGTCTAATCTGAAATTCTCTTGAATATTCTCCGTGAACAAGGATTTTGCTTTTTAAATTGTTCAATATTACATGTAGGCCTATCAGTCTTGTCAGTTTGTTGGGTATGCCAAACTCCTGCAGAATCTCATACATATATTTTCTTTGTTGCTGTCATTGTATATTCCACATAGAGTTGGTGTCCTGGGATATTATATTCATAACATTTCCCTAAATTTGATCAGTCGTTGGTTTGTTTTGCCTGAATCCACATTGGTAATCATCTAGTATATCTTCAGTGTACGGTTTTAGTCTTTTGGCAATTAGCTTCGTCAGTATTTTGTATGAAAAATTTAATAAAGAGATTCCCCTGTAGTTTGTGCACTGAAGTTTGGAGCCTTTCTTGCTTGTGTATTGGGGTTATTAATGCTGTTTCCCATTCTGTTGGACTTTTCTCTTTTTGCCAAATTTTAGTTATAAGTTTATGTATCTGAGTGTATAGTTCAAGGTTAACACAAGTATAATGAGTAGTTTAAGTCTCACTGGAGCCGAAATGAAGATGTCTTTGATCATTATTATGGAAATTTTGGCACTCCACACCCGAAAGTTTGAAATGGAACCTCAAAATTGTCTGAAATAAACACAAATTCAAGTATGCACCAAAATGCACCTCGGCATTTTGAGTTTGCCCGATTGTCTTAAGTGCCCTAAATTTCTGCACCCCTTCAATCACGCTGATCAGTGGAACAATATGGGATTGATTATAAGCTTGTGCCAAATGATTACTCTGGGACACGCCACAGACTGAGTGAATCCAGTTTATGTATGGCACTGGGCGCCATAATGCCTCCTACAAAACCTTAAAAATCCCCCGTTAAAAAAGTAAAATAAAAAGATTTAATTAAAATATACTCAAAAATATACCTCTTGATTTTGATATAATCATAAATTTTCCTGGGGAAGGCTCCACAGACCCCTTTTTTCCGATCAAGATTCATCAGCGCCCTCATTTTCCGCCCTACTTCCCGATGAAAATGACCCCCCGATTTCGGTATCGCTAGATCCACTGCCTAGTGACGCAGCTACTCTTAGTGCCACCATGGGCGGGCCAATATTTTATTTTTGCTGTCCTCCCTTTCCCGTTACAAAATCTGCAGTTGTCCGAAAATGCCACACCTGCATATAAAGAAAAAGTGACACCTCGGTGGACCACCCCATCCACCTTATTTCGACGCCACTAGCAGGTGCGTTTCTGCAGTGTTTGGTGTCCAAGGACAATGACGCCACTAGCAGGTGCGTATCTGCAGTGTTTGGTGTCAAGGGACAAGCTTCATTTTTACGCCACCCCCAAAAAACAACCACTCTGAAACTGATTATTTTCAACCATTAAATGCCACCAGAGCCCATTTTGCCCCCCTCCCGGCTAGTCTGACACCCGGGCTATATGCCCCATCTGCCCCCCTTAGATACGCCTCTGGCAACTGGCACAGCCCCCCCCTGAAAATTTGAAATTCGCCCGGGGGGGGGGGG